AATTCCAATATGAATATGTGTTCTAAATTCCTTATTCATTGAATTTTTTTTCAATGATTGTATTTGAATTTTTGTTAACATTTGATTGGTGTGTTATCTATCATTTTTCTACTATGTACTTTTACTATATTACTTCAACGTCAATTAAAATCTATACAATTGTAAACTTATTTATTTATTTTTATTTTGATGTATTAATTTTATGAATAATAGGGATATAAGTTATATTAATGTTGTAATTTTTTTTTTATTCAAGATGATATTTTATCTTTGTTATCTAATTATAAAAATGAATCGCAATTACAATTTTAATTTCTTCGTAAATTTCTCTTTCTTTAATTATAATAAATAGTGTTGAATTATTACATTATAAATTGTAAGTATTACGAAAATATTATACTATAATTATAATATAACTTTTTAGATGATTATTTTGCTACCATATAATTTTTTTCATTAAATCAATAATCAAAGATAGTTTGTTTTTAGAAAAAAATCTCTACAACCCATTAATAATAACATATAGTTCAAAATAGCTAATATAAATTAATTATTAATAATATTAAATATACTTTTGAATTAATCTGAAATATCCATAATCAAATGTTTTTTCTTTCATTAAAAATTTTATATAATGAAATAAAAATAATATATTAAATGAATAATTAAAATTTTATTATTTATTTATATATAAAACATTTTGATAAGATGGTATAATTTTTAATTCTCTATTTTATCCACAAAAATTAATATTTTTTATTAAATTCTTAATATTTTATATATTTTTATATTTGAAAATATTACAACTTTTTTCTTATATTTCTGTAATAATAATAAAAATAATAGTAAAATTTGTCCAGAATATTTAAGCAATGTTCTATCTCCATCTTACAATTTAAAAATAAGGTTTTAATTTTTAATACTATTTGGTTCATTTTTTATACTTAATATCATTCCATTATCACACATCTAAATAATCATTTAAATATAAATATTACTGTAAGATTATCCAATGTTTATAATGTTAAAATTAAAATAATAAAATAATAGTATAAAATATTTATTTTTGATATACTAATTAAGTTTGTACAACAATATAAAAATATTTCATTAAAACAATAATAAAAATAATATAGAATATTTACTTTTGATAAAAAAAAAGTAATAATATTTCATTTTGTTTTGTGCAGTAATTATATTTAGGAAAAAAAGTGTTACTAGGAGTTGGGCACATATATACTAGGAAAGACAAAATCCTAGGACGTTTGCCTTTATAAATACCACAAAGTCACTCACTTTTGAATTGGTTTAACGAAATATAGTAGCATATAGAGATACAAAAAATGCGCTTCCTGATGCGATCTTTGATGAAATCTATGCTCCAATTAATCATCTTTGTAAACTTGCGATACAGTGTCACTTGTTCTTCCTCTCTCCAATTTTAATCTTAGTTCTTTGAAGAAGAAAAAAATTATTGATTTCACATGACCAATGTTTAATTGATTATTCAAGAATGCCCAATCTTGTTGAACAGGGTATACAAATCCGAGAAAGTTAGTCTTGATTCTTGATTGCGTAGCCGAAAAAATGCAGAAGCCTCTGTGAAATGAATTCTGAGAAAAAATGTTGTCGTTTAATGACCCTTTGTAAGATGAAATCCTCTAATGGAACAAAACATGGACGGTATGATTATCCTAACTGAAATTCCAATATGAATTTGATGAATCTATTGTGTTCCTTATTCATGGTATAAAACATGGATGACTTGATGATCATTAAAGGAAGCTTCAGTGTAAAATCTTATTCGCGGTGATTTCATAATGAATTTTTATTGTTAAACCAAACTTGGGGATTATTTGCAGCCTAAATAGAACTCTGGTATATTTAGTGATGCTTATGATATCCCTCCATCACGGTGCATCGTTATCGAGTCTCTCACTGAGACCCAAAGATTCTAGGCTAATTTTTCCAGTGGACAAGGTTGATGTGGGAGTGCAGACTTTTCTAAATGATAATGCCGAAAAGGAAGATCATGGTGTGTTTTCCTGTAATAACTGTAAAAGCAGAATGCAGCTTGATTTCAGTGACATTGACAATAGTTCAAACATGCAGCTTATACCCATTGATTGCCCTTATTCTACTGATAAGCCAAAGAAGCAAGTTTTGAAAACGAGTGTAATGATATCAATTGCTGTGTCTGATACAGCTTAAATACAATCTATTTTTATTTCTTTCTTTTGTAACATAGGCAGTAGAGAAAGTTTTAGCATGATCCATAAGGAGAGAAATGGCACTTGAAGAGTTCTGTGCAAAAGCAGACTAGGGAGATTATGCAGCTCAGTTGCTTGGTAAGTTTCTGTTTGTTTATTGACAACAATCTATGGGCATTGTTTTTCTTTTATTTGACCATTTTCTTTTCTCAATCACATTTTTAATTGCAAAAGTACGACCATGAAAGGGAATGCAATGCCACAATAACACAGATAAGAGAAGAAGAGTTGGAGTCCATCACACATGAACACAAAGTAGAAACAAGTTATTTTATCGTTTCTTTTTTATGATTACTTTCTTTGATGGCTAATTTTACCCACTATCAACATTCAACAGCTTTTAAAGAAGAACTATGAGCATCATCCGGAGTTTGATGCATACCTCGACAGATGGTCCCATCTATTTTGTGTATTTGATCCTTCCCCAAGTTGTATTCTTGTACGTTGTTCCAATGTTTCATACATGAGATTGCATCTACTTTATACATCAAAGAAATCTTACATAGATGAACAAGTTTAGACATATAATTCTTATTACTAACTAATTAGAAACAACTAATTGTTAATTAACTAAGTTAGCTTTTATATGCTTAATATCCTCCACTCCCCCTCCCCCTCATGTTGGGGAGTAAATGTCTCAGGATCTCCAACGTGCGAATGACAGAAGAAAACAAAGAAAGTGCTTTTGAAAAAAGTCAGCCAATTGGTTGTCATAACATGAATCAATTTGATAAGCTTTAACAAGTTCTCTAAAATAAAATGGTAATCAATATTAATGTATTGAAGTAATCTTTGCAGCCAAACAATTTCATTGGCAATAGACGATAAGGATATGTAATTTGCTTCTGTAGAAGACTTAAAACATTAGGTTGTTTTTGAATTTTCAAGAGATGAAGGCATTCCCATGAAAAACACAAAATCTGGTAGTAGACCTTCTAATGTCTAAGCAACTACCGCAATTAGTAACAAAAAACAATCCTTGTCCAATGGCTAAGGGATGAGTAAATCAAGGAGTTTGTATATACTAACTAAATTCATAAACCACATAGCATATGTTAAGTTGAGAGATAGTCAAATATAAGAATCACCCCATAAATCTTAGGCTCTTTAATCACAGTGGCAAATTTTTAAAATAAATTTTTGAAATAAGATACTTGTCAAATAATTTTCTAAAATAGAGAAAAATTACAATAACTGTTAAATAAAATGCTAATTAAAAATGTGTCACTCACTTAAAAGATAACACGTGTCACACCTTAGAAAATTGGGTCTTTCTTTCACTTACAAGTCCCTTATTTCTTCCATTGTTGTCCTCAAAGCTACTCTCCGTCAACCGTATCAAGTCTTTCTCCACCTCCAATTACAAAGGCTTGCGCATGTTGCACAACATTTCACGGTGTAACACATATCTCATCTCCAAAGTGAGTGATAAATTTCCAATTAATATTTTGCTTAACGATTATTATAGCTTTTATTGTTTTGCAAGTACCCTGTTTTAAAAAATTTATATTCAAAATTTTCTCATTTTAATAAATTTTGACATACCAATATTTAATAATCATGTGTAACTTGAAAAAGTAAAGTGATGAACAGAAATAAAAGTTATGGATTGAGATGAAATTTTTAAAATTTTAGAAATTAAACTATCTAACATTTATAATTTCAGAAACTAAATTGAAGTGAAAAAAGTTTCTTTGCATTGATTGTATCTCGTTTTTGTACATAGAAAAATATCAACCATTGATCAAACTTGAGACATCGTGTCACGTTCACAAAGAAACAGGTGCTTCTGTTTTTCAAGAACAACAAAGCATAAGACAAAATATCTCTCAGCCCTTGGCTACGATATTTTTAAAGTACTCTGTAATAAAATATTAAAAACACACTGAACAGTCTCTATAGAAAGGAAATGGATGTAAGTAAAAAAAAAAAAGTGCTACAGTGATGCTGAAAATCATAATATTCCTCACTCATCACAACGAAAACTTTATAACCCACACGCCACACGTGGGGTTATTAATGTAATTTACTTATAGCGACTGATCTACTATATCTACGAATTTGGATTCTTTCTTGGAAGATTTTTTTTCAATTTATCTCCAACAAAATCTTAATCATTCAATTTTTATATTGAAATAAGATGAGTCAATAAAAATTATAATTGATTAATAAAAAACTGAAGTGGACAGATTTGTATGTGATTAATCCATCTTGGCCATTCAATATAAAAATCAATAATTAAGATTTTCATGTAGAGAGTGTTCGCTGGAGGCGAAATGAATTCCTGTACCTATCAACATTTCCACTATTTATAAGCAATTTAAGCTAGAGAATATTTCTCATTTTTTATGAGCAATTTTATTTTATCTTTTAAGAAAATTATTGTTAACATTTTTAACAGAAAGAAAGAAAACCCTATAATCATATATCAGAAGATAAAAGTAAGAAGCAGAAAAAGAATAGTATCACAAAATATTAGATGTTATTTGATTTCAAAAAAACGTGTTCTTGTTTACTTTTAATTATTAGACCATTACCTTAGTTTTAGTTTTAAATATTTATACTATATACAGTCAAAACAGACAAAAGTTCTTTTCTTTATGCTAAATGTTGAATGTTCTTCGAATATTGATTTATTTATGCACTACTCCCTTCTTCAAAGCATGAGGATCTTCAGAAGTGTTTTGAGTGTCATTATTAAAAATGGTGAAAATAAACGAAGGTGGTGAGAGAGAATAAAAAAATGTTGGAACACATAGAAACTCACAAAAGGAACATAAAACAAATGATGATATCATCCATTGTTTAAAAATTCCCTCAGTACTCATTTATTACATTAAACCAGGTCAACAAATAAGGATTTTTAGCTAGCTAAGGACAACATTTAAGCAATTAAGCTCTAACTGGGGATAAAACCTGATCAAATAAAAGTAACATACATATAAGAGAACAGCAACAGAAATCTAAACTATAAGAATAGCATGAATATAACAGAGAATTGAGGCATTCTCTCTGAAAGACCAACAAATTCGTCCCTAAAGACAGCTTCAGATTGTGCTTTTCCTTTTAAGCCACAGCAGGCATGTCCTTGAGCCATGAATCTAGTGGTTTTCCAATTGAATAAACTATGAAACCAATCTCCCTCAGCTTCTTAACATCCACAACATTCCGGCCATCAAAAATAAATGCAGGCTTCTGCATGTTTTCATAAACTTTTTGGTAATCAAGGTTCTTGAACTCATCCCACTCAGTCATAATGCAAATACCATGTGCATCCTTAATTGCTTCATATGCATCCCAAACCACAGATACTTGCTTGTTGGAAGTTGGGCTCAATGGTTGAAGATGAGCAGGGTGGTCCCAATCAAACTTCTTCATTGCCAAATCCCTCATGATTTGATCTTCAGAAACCTGAGGATCATATATGCTCAACTTGGCCTTGTCTCCCAACAGCCCCTTGCACACATCGATTGCTGGGGTCTCCCTGGTGTCACCAGTGTCCTTCTTGAAAGCAAATCCCAGAATGGCGATTTTCTTCCCTGAGACAGTGTTGAACATTGAAGAAACAACTCGGTTCACAAACCGAGTCTTCTGGTAGTCATTCACCTTAATGACCTGTTTCCAGTAATTGGCTACCTCAGGAAGGCCATTGCACTCACAGATATAGACCAAGTTCAAAATGTCCTTCTGGAAGCAAGAGCCACCAAAGCCAACACTGGCATTCAAGAACTTGGGTCCAATTCTCGAATCGGTCCCAATGGAGTGGGACACCTGAGACACATCCGCACCAGTTGCCTCACAAAGTGCCGACATTGCATTCACAGAAGAGATTCTCTGTGCCAGAAAAGCATTGGCTGCAAGCTTGGAGAGCTCAGCAGACCACAAATTGGTGCAAAGGATTCGCTCCATGGGAACCCAATGGGCATAAACATCTCTAAGAGTATGAATAGCCTTTTGACCTTCTGGAGTTTCCCTGCCTCCGATAAGGACTCGATCAGGCTTGAAGAGATCTGCGATAGCTGTACCCTCAGCAAGAAATTCAGGGTTAGACAGAATTGTGAAATTGATGCCTTTCCTATTGTGAGTCAGAATCCTCTCAATTGCCTCAGCTGTTTTCACAGGCACGGTCGATTTCTCAACCACGATCTTGTCTGATTTCGAAACATCAGCAATCATCCTAGCAGCACTTTCCCAATATGTTAAATCAGCCGCTTTGCCGGCACCAAGCCCCTGAGTTTTCGTCGGGGTGTTCACCGAGACAAAGACTATATCAGCCTCAGCAACGTGCTTCTCCACATCAGTGCTGAAGAAGAGATTCTTTCCCCTGCACTGCTTAACCACATCATCAAGGCCAGGCTCGTATATGGGGAGGTGGTCGCTGTTCCAGGCATTGATTCGTGACGCAGAAATATCAACCACAGCTACCTCAATCTCAGGACACTTCAAGGCAATGACAGCCATGGTTGGACCACCGACATAGCCAGCTCCAATGCAGCAAATCTTCACCATTTTTCTTATTTGTTCTCAGCAGCCTGCGTGACATAACAATCCCAAACTCAAAACAAAACAGAAACAATGCAAATTCACTCTCAAAATGTTCATGACCAGTTAACAAGGTAACCAACCATATTAAGATCCAAAGGTAAATAAATAACTGAAAGACCAAACGACAAAATTCACCCAATTTCCACATACATGCAAAACACGAGAATTCAAAGAGATCTATAATTTTTATGCGAAGCAATCATAAAAGGCAAGCAGATCCAGAGGACATAGCCAAAGAAAATGCAAATGGTTCATTATAAATTATTGAAAATGTTCATTTCAGACATCATCCCCTGTTCCAACAAACACATGCACAAACACACAGAGACACAAACATATCCGAAACAAGAGACAAATTAAGGAATCCGAATCTCGGCAACCAGATCTAACGACACAAATCACACGAAAACAGCCAACACAACAGATCCACCCACAATTCACAAACAAACAATTCGATACAATCATTGAATAAAAAAAAGGGGTGGCATTAGAGACCGAAACAAGAATACCCAGAAGGCAAAATCGAAAGACAGCGAGAAAACTCGAAATGGGTAGGAAGAAAAAACTCAGTCGATGACCACAAAAGCAAATCAGAGGGCCAAAAAAGAGAGAGAGAGAGAAAAACGAAGCAAAGATTATAAGGAAATGGAAATTTACCTTGTTGAGATTGAAGGAAGGGAGAGAGATCTGATATGTGAAGAGGGATTGAGAGGAGGGAATAAAATGGGAATGTAATGAATGAAACCGCGTCAGAATTTATATAGAGAAAGAGAGAGAGAGAGAGAGTGTCACGTAGCAATGACATTCAATCAAAAAACCAGTGAGTGACTAAGATCTAACCCCTCCTATGACCATAGTTTCCGTGACAAAAGCATTACATTACCACTACCATTGTGCCCAACACGTTTTTCCTTTTCACTTTTTTTATTGCCTCTTCCCCTAATTATTTCATTAACTAACATTTTCTTCTTCACCAGAATTTCATCTATAATTTTAACTCATCCTTCTTAAAATGAAAAAAACAATGCCAGCCAGTTAAATAAATAATAAATATAAATTAATATTATTATTCTTACTGATGTAGAAAATTAATAAATAATATTTTTATTAAAAATTATAACATTTAATGATATTGATACATTAAATCTTAATATATCATATACAAATGTTTTTATTGGTTTTTTTTTTCTCAATATCACTTTGCGTATCTTTTTTCTTCCTTAAGTTTTGACTCCTATCAATAGGATGGGTCCTTACATGTTTTTTCTCATTTGAATTTAATCCCTGTAATTTCAATTCATTAAGGTTTAGTCCGTATATTATACGAAAGACTTAATTGAATGAAATATAGTAAAATTTTATCAAAAAATTTGTTAGAATAAGGTAAATGTGACCTATTTGTAAGTTAGTATTTTTTAAATCTTTGTGACTGGCTTTTATCTTAATTAAAACTCATGTTATTTATAAACCAAACTTATTTGACTAAATTGCTATAAGAAATAAGAAGTAACAAATATGATTTATTTCATTTTATCTGAACATTTTATTAAAAAAAATTGTTATGTATTTTAAAAAATTCTATTTCTAACTTGTAAGAAAATCATCAAAACTGTTTAAGACATATCTAACTATTTTCCACTTTTTCAAACCTTTTTTTTCATAAAAACATTTTCTTTAAGGATCAAACAAATTGGTCCAAGTTCTTATCTCGCAAAATTTGAACCTCTTAATATCAGCGGTAAACTAGAATTTACATCATACTTTTATATATATACACACACACACATCAATGCATTTATTTTATTGAATGCTCTTTTGTTAACGTTATTTTTATCAATTTAACTCCAATATTAAATAAATCTTATAGTGAAATTGTCACACTAAAAGCAAATGACACTACTATGTTTTAGGTTATTTTGTATTTTATGGCAACATTTTAGAACAATAAGTACCGTGGAAAATTGAAATAAATCAAAATGAGGATTTTTTTTTTTTAAATCTAGAATATAGTTTTACCAGCTAACTTTGCACAAAAACTTCTTACATATTATACGTCCAACGGTAAATTGATTAGAACTTCATTTAAATGCAGAATGAAATTATATGATATAATAAAAATAATAATATTTTCAATATTTTACAAACAGAATATTAAATAAAAAGCAAACATATATATATATATATATATAATGTTTTTGTTTAATAATTACAAAAATTGTTTGAAAATTTGTCTATAGATTCTGTAGTTATCTTGTTCGGCGGTGGTCGAATTGTTTATGGAAATTGGGTAAACTTGGCATGCACGGAACATAAAAAGAGGAAAGTTGAAGTCTCGAAATAATACGTATATGATGACAAATTAGAGTATATATCAATTTTTTCTGTAGGAACATCCTAGTGGACTCTCTATATATTTTTATTGTTATATAAATTAGTTTATTTTATTTTGTTCTACAAGGAAACCTCAATAATCAATACACCAAGCTACTGTGCAACATTTTTCACACATTATATTAACATTTTTTATTTTTTTAAGCAAAATTATACTTTTTATTCTTTAACTTCTGCACTTTTTTTATTTTTTAATTAGTAGAAACATTAAATATTAAATATATTTCTTAACCCATGTTCTATATACAAAGAACAGAAAAAATAGTAGAATTGATATTGAAAATAACATTTATATACTTTATAATGAGTTCTTCGTTTATTTTTCTGGGGATGCATTTATTTGTGTATTTATTAAAATCAAAATTATGATGACAAGTAAATGCGTATCCTTTTTTGAAAATTATATCTAAGTATGTATTAATTGCATTCCATATCTTTCTACATTAAGGGCATATTCAATTTTGCATCAACGATTACATGGGGAACGAAGGAAATATTTATTTTCTAAAAGTTATTTTTTTTAATGTGTATTAAAGATAATAGGTTAAAGGAATTTTTTTATGTTTTTTTATAAACTCTCTTTAATCAAAAAAATTATTATATATTTAAGGGGACATTTTTTTTTGTTGACTTAAAGAGCACGTGTTAAGAAATTTAAAATATAAATATTTTTCTAAAAACAAAACATTATTATAACATAATGTTATAAAAATCATTTAATATATATTCAATATTTTTTAACATGTGTCTTTGGCACATATTAGGGAAACCATTAAGTATAATTAAATTATACAAGAGGAGCCTTATCTACACTTTTTTTTTAAATACTTATAATTATTAGTTAAAATTTATTAAAAACTATAAAAATATAATAAATAATTATTTAATTAGGAGTGAGAAAAAATAAGACTTATATAATTTTATAAATTTTGATAAAATATAACTAATAACTGAAAATATGTTAAAGTGTATTAATAACAATTTTTTATTACATAAATCAATAAAAGTAGTTAAATATAATTAATTATTGTGAATTTTAAAAATTAATATAACATAATAAGTTTATCATCATTTAATATTATTTTACCTTACTTCACTATCAATATTTACTCTTATTAAATTTAATCTATATTTTTACTAACTGTATTTATTAATTTAATTATAAATAGAAAAAAATATAGTAAGTGTAAAAAGACTAATAAAATTTTATACAGATAGTATTTTTAAAATAATATCTAATATTATCCATATAATAAATAACGTGATATCTTGTTATTTTTAATAAAATTTATTATATATAAATTATTTATTATAAGATATCCTTTATAAATGAGTTTGGTGCATTTATTTTTTTTCTTTCACATAAAACACATTTATTACATATCTTATTATTTAAAAAAAAATTCACTTATCACATCACTACATTCAATATTTTGTTGCAAGTTGCAAGGAATATAGTTAAGTTAGCGCATATTTATTTTGAAAAAATAATCATTTATTTATAATAATTTAATGATAAAATTTACAAAAAAATAAATATACATTTTTTTTTAGTAACTTTGATATTTTTTTTTATTTCTCATTCGATTTAATCTGGATTCGATCCAAGGCACACGCCTGAATGTGGTGGATGAATCTACTATCCACATTCATTACATATTTTATTATTGAAAAAAAAGTCATTTATCACACCACTACATTCAATATTTCGTTGTAAGTTGCAAGAAATATGGCTAAGTTAGCACATATTTATTTTAAAAAAATAATCATTTATTTATAATAATTTTATGATAAAATTTACAAATAAATAAATACATTTTATATTTTAGTAACTTTGATATTTTTTTTTAGTTTTTCATTCGGTTTAATCTGGATCCGATCTGGGTCACACACCTAAATGTAGTGAGTGAGGAGTTTTTTGCAAATTGTGAGGGATATGGTTAAGTTAGCGCATATTTATTTTGAAAAAATAATCATTTATTTATAATAATTTTATGATAAAATTTACAAAAAAATAAATAAATACATTTTACTTTTTAATAACTTTGATATTTTTTTTTTGTTTCCCTTCCGATTTAATCCAGATCCGATCCGAGTTACACACCTAAATGTAGTGGGTGAGTTTATTATTAAAGATTTTTTGCAAGTTGCACGGGATATGGTTAAGTTAGCGCATATTTATTTTGAAAAAATAATCATTTATTTATAATAATTTTATGATAAAATTTACAAAAAAAAAATAAATACATTTTATTTTTTAGTAACTTTGATTTTTTTTTCATCCAATTTAATACGGATTCGATCCTGTTCACACACCTGAATGTGGTTGATAAGTCTACTACTAAAATTTTTTTGCAAGTTGCAAGGGATATGGTTAAGTTAGCACATATTTATTTTGAAAAAATAATCATTTATTTATAATAATTTTATAATAAAATTTTCAAAAATAAATAAATAAATACATTTTATTTTTTAGTAACTTTGATATTTTTTTTTGTTTTTCATCCGATTTAATCTGGATCCGATGTGGGTCACACACCTGAATGTGGTAGGCGAGTCTACTACTGAAGATTTTTTGCAAGTTACGAGGGATATGATTAAGTTAGCGTATATTTATTTTGAAAAAATAATCATTTATTTATAATAATTTTATGGTAAAATTTACAAACAATAAATAAATAGATTTTATTTTTTAGTAACTTTGATATTTTTTTTTTAGTTTTCCATCCAATTTAATCCATATTCGATTCGGGTTGCACACCTGAATGTGGTGCGTGAGTCTACCAGACTACCACTGAAAATTTTTTGCATACACATAAATTCGAATTCAAGATATTACTTAAGCGATATTAAACTGCTTATTATCCAGACTCCGCTAGTAGTAACTTTAATATTTTATTATCTTGGACTCTCGTACTATTAATCAATTTCATCAATTGATTTTTTTGGGTACAAGTTTCATCAATTGATTAGTTGCACGTGGAAGAATAAAATTGGTTTCTTAAAATAAATAAATAAATAAATCCACTCAACTCTACGATAAAAGAAGAACAAAGAATTTCGGATCACGAACAAAAACTGCCCAATAATAAAAACTATGGAAATAGATTGAAACATTTGTCCTCATTTTTCATTTTTCTAATAAAAAATGATTGGTAATTAAAACGTAACATATAATTATTATCTCATAATTGTTACTTTTCTTGTTAAAATGACTTTTTTTTTTTAATTGGATGAATGAAAGGAAAATAAGAAACCTCTAATTTGTTTCCTTATAGAATTATCATGTGGTGTTTGGCTTTTCTCTCTCCTAGGCAAAGATTAATAAAATATCTTCAATTAACATAATAATTTGGTAAACTACATGTTAAACTGACGACTAAGTACCTTAAAGTGACGATGAGGTTAGGTTTAATATCATGTCTACCCCTTTGCAAATTCTAAAAAAATAAATAAAAAATCATTATACTACTGTTTAGAAACTCAAATTTTTTATTTTATTTTTTAAGCAATAAAATTATTTATATATTG